CTGCATTCATTTGTTTTAGATACAATTATGTATTTAATGGTAGTGTTTGGTTGAGTGCTGAGAATTGTATCTATGGAGAAAGATATAATTAATGGGAGGTCAATTTAGAAATTATTTACAAATGTATAAATTATGCTGGGTTATTTGTTATAGAAATTCAATTAAAGTGTTGATAAATATGGCAATTAAACAATAGATATTGTGTAATCTATTTATTCATATATTTATTTTTCATTCTCTATTTAAGGCATTCCAAATCTATATAGTTTCCCCAGACTTAATCCTAACCCCCTTTTGGTATATATTCAGACTACGCCATCTTGTTTTTTACGGCCCATTTGCTTTGTCTTTATGGATTTTGTCCAGCTTTTAGCCAAGTTTTCTTTCTTTTGGCTGCTGCCAACTATAGTACATACAGACATCAGTTGGCCTTTTAGCTAGTTGCGTTTTGTGCTTATAAATAATTGCAATTCGGAACTTGTTTCATGTCTGGTCGCTGCTTAGGAGCTTAGATGTGGCAATCAAAGTCAAATTGTGGAAAAATGGTCGCAGACGCGCGTTTGATAAATGACCAGAGCAAGTGGTGCGGCGGGGGTCCCCTCTTCCATCATCCGTGTCGACCTTGACCGCCTTCCGACGGAGGGTAGGAAGGAAGCGGCCATGTGGTGCATATGGCTCGGTTTACATTTCGTGTAATAAGTGCAGCGACCGATGGCCATTAATTTGCCGGAATTACTTGGGCACCCGCCGCGGCTCATATCCCCTTGAAAGTCACACTATCTAAGCGCTTAGCCAGCCAAGCGCACTACCTGTTGACTCATTAACTCAGGTTAGCGAAGACACTGGGAGAAAATATAGAAATAAACTAGGAAAACATTTTAAATATTTTTAAATTTCATATTTTGTCTTTAAAATATTATATTAAATTTAATATATATTAGAGTGTTGAAAAAGTATTTTCAAAAGCTTTAAGATTGGGGTTCATATAACAAATAAAACGATAAAATTATTATGCGTGTAATGGGCTTTATTTTTAATGTATTTAAATTTTTAAGTAATATAATAAATATAAAATAATATTATATAAATAATTTCAGATAAATTCAACCAAAGATCTTGGTTTAATTATTTTCTAGAGTCAACATTTACTCACCCACATAATAAAGATAGTTTAATATTAGATCAAAATCTTCTTATAAATTTTTCTCTCAGTGTAGGGAAACTCCGAATGGAGTTGCAACTCCCACCACATTGTCACTCCCCAGCCACGTGAGTGTGTGCTTGTGCGTGAGTGTGTGTTAATGAAGAGCCTCGTAAAAAACCGACGCAATGCATTGCTAATAAGGGGTTCTTGCGGCTTCCTGCCCCTTCTGCCATCGGGCATCCCCCTCGCTCCACCTGCGTTGGATGCAGCACCGCAAGTGTGCTGTGTCATTATCACACTCACCTTTCGGGGGGAGGTGGGGACACACACCCGCCCATCTCGCTATTGCACTATATCTCGCACTGTCTCCCTCCCCCACGCTTTCTTTTGGGGCCAGCAGCTTCGTGCTTTTATGCTGCGCTTCGGGTCGACACGAACGAACGGGAAAGCCGAGCGCCGAACACCGCGGCGCAGACGGCGACGCCGACGCAGCAGAGTTCAGTTAGAATCGGATTGTATAACGGTGCGGTTGTCGGCGTTTCTCCCTCGGTTCTCGCGCGTTTTGCGGGCGTTTCGCACGCGTTTTCCTCCGGTCGGTGAAATAAATATCAAATAAATTTTAAATAAATTGAATTAAATTTAACTTAATTGCACATTTATTTGTGTATTCACCTCTGGGCATTGACTTGCCAGTGACGTCGGTGGTGTGTCTGTGTTTGTGTGTTATTGCTCGACTTGAAGTGTTTAACATTTATTTGGATCGTAAACAAAAACAAAAGGCCTCGATTTGTTTACATTTCTGCCCAGCGGTTGCCTTTCCTTTTATTATTATCATTGCCGAAATTTTTTCGGTTTGCCAAAATGCAAATGTCAATTGGGGATAATTTCTGGAAATCTCTCTGTGGATTTTTATATTTTTACTTGTTCCTTAATGAGTCAGTTTTGTTTTTAATACTTTTTAAAAAATTTAATTTACCCCGCACACTTCACATTTGTTTTTCTTTTTCCCTTTTCACGGACCATTGCGCTTTTCTTGATTTTGTAACACATTGTGACCAGATTTCGTGGAACTGTAACCACCGGAAATTTTTGCAGCCAGTGCTGAGTGATAAATATCTCATTTTGATCCGTAATAGCTTCCCAGAATCCAGTGACGCTTCTTCTAGAACATCTCTGATCTGTCTCGGTCAGTGTGGGATCTCAATGGGTTAATGGGGATCTTAACTAGCGCTAAATTGACGAGATCGTAAAGTGGAAAAGTGTATTATAAATCATAGTAAATGCTCGGTAAATCGGGTAAACAAAATAACTAGGTAATGAGGTGTTTGCTCTCCCCGATCGGACAGTTTGATAGCGAGTTCTTGTGAGACAGAAAAACAGAGTTATCATTTCTTCTACAGCGTTGTGTTATCTAATTGTAAGTGTTATCGCGTTAGGCGCTATGTTCGAGACCCGTAAATCCCTCGTCAATGCAAACAGACCTGGGAGTTTATAATTCCAACTTGAGTACTTTTATTTCCTCTAAAGTCAATAGTTTCGGAAATGTGTCAACCTTTTCAAATATTTACAAATATTTCAATATTTGTTATGGATTTTAATAGTTAAAATCATTTGTTACTGCTTGAATTTTGATTTCTTTGTGGGTTATAGTTATAAACATTCCCACAGAATGTGTTGTTGAATACCACTTGGGATGAATTATTCGAAAGGAAAGGAAATTCGAGATACTATTTGGTTCAACTTATTTTTAAACATTTTAAAGAGACCTTTTGATGGTCTTAAAATTATTATTTAACCGGAAAAACGTGTAATGATTTCCTATAAATTATTTTAAATATGTAGAGTAACTTTCCACAATTTATGTATTTGAACTTTGATCTTTTAATTCCTCAAATATCAAAACACATTTCACAGCACACTATTCCCTCTACTCTTATAATTGTTATAAAGTTTCCTTTTAATTTCGCTCTTCCATTTCCATTTCCCTTAGAAATCACATTGGCTTAGACGTGATTTATGTAGTGACATTTGCGGTTCATCTCTGTGGGAACCCCGCAAGGTTGTAATAATTCACTATGCAATTTGTAGCCAAAGAATATTCTATCTGCTTTCCGTCCGTCCGGCAGCCCCCCAACAACTTTGAGTATAACCCCGTGCCCGTGCTCGTAAATATCAACTAAGCTGCTCCCGCTTCTCGAAAGTAGGGTGGGACGAGGGGTGAGGTAGGGAGTGAAGGGGAAGGGGCTGGTGCAGTGCATATGTTAATTATCCCACCTGGCCAATGATAGTGGGGTAAAAAGTTGGAAAAACAGAGGGGAATAAGGGGAGTTGCTGCTCACTGATTCAATTAGCGGTAGCCATACGCATATAGCCCGTATTTATGGCTACACAGTAAGAAAAGTTTACGTAATATATTATAGGGAAAAGAACATACGGCAAATATTATGCTTATAATTATTTATAGACATTAAAACTGAGTTTAAAAGAGTAAAATTTAAGGAGAATATATTGATATTAAGTGAAATCTATTATGCAATATAAAATAAAACAATACAGTGAAGTTTAATTTCAAAGTACACACATATTATTCTTCCTTGACTATTATTCCATCCTCTTAAATTGTTAATATCGAAGTAAAAGTAGTATTAATAAAAAGTGTAAAAAACATCACTACTAAAAATTCCTAAAAAATTACTACTAATGATTAATAAAGTTTAATGTTAAATCCGATCTTTGTCAAGTCTATACATATGTGTATTAAATCATGCCTCTCTTAAAACTCATATAAACCAATAGAGATATCACTAAAATCAAATAATAATAACCATAAAGATTTCCCATATTTTCTCTCTGTGTCAGTGCAAGTGTATGGGTATTTACTATATAGGGCAATCTGAGCGTCCGACAGTAGAGTGCATTGTTCTGTTGTTGTTGGGGTAATCCCATTAAAAGTCGTTTAATCGAAAGCGAAAAAGAGAACTACCCCACTGCCCCATACCATGCCCTTTTTCCTTTCCCTGCCGCGTGCCTCGCTCTCGCAGTCACCTTCAGCTAAGTGGGTGGAAAATGGCTGGTGGGGGGTGGCTCGGAGGACGGTTCGAAGAGGGCTTGTGGAAACAGGGACCACGGCTCATAATTGAGATTTGTTGCACTCCGACGCTGACTTTTATGCGAGCGCTTTTTATTGTTTATTGTTTACAGCGGCAACATGTAAGTGCAATTACAGTGGAAAATTGGATTTCCTTCCACTTTGCTGCGGAAAAGCTCTCCCGGTAGCTCGACGGCGCCGAGGTTTAGCGTTTTCGCTTTTCGGGGAGAGGTGCTGGATGCTGCCTAACAAATTGTTGGTCAAACAACGCTGATTGCTCTCTGCCCCTAAGATCTCGAGGATATGCTGGATTTTTGGTGGAGGCGGCGTGTGCCATCGGGGGTCGTAGCCCCAAAACTTTTCCAATTGCGGTCGCCTCTCGGCGCTTGAATCTACTATAAATAAAACTGACTTTGGGGCTTATCAATTGTAATTGTTGGTCCGGGTTACCTCCGCGGCTCCCCTTTCACCCGAAACGCGAAATGCTGCGGGGCCTAACAAGAAAAGTTGTCGCCGAGTTTGTCTGTCTATCTGTGTGTGACAGTGTGAGTTTGCTTTGGCTACAGTGCGTGCCAAAACTATTAGGCTTATTAACCCTTGACTTATAGAGAATCTAAAGAGCTGTTTAAAATTGGATTAATTTCTAAATAAACATGAAAGATGCTTCCTTGTATAGACTTAACGTGGCCATTAGAATACTCAGTTATTATCTATCTAAATTACTTAAAGTAAGCATACAAAAGCTTTAATTTTGGTTTAAATTTATAAATTAGTTGGGCCGAAATCCCGGCGGTACTGCAATACCGGGCCAACCCGCGACAGAGGTGGAGCAAGCTCCTAGCACTCCGTCTGATTCCAAAAATCAGTTTAACATTTGTTGTCCTCCAATGGAGGAACTATCAGATGTTAAGCTGATAAGAACAGATACTACACTTTGATCTTAGCCATAAGGCCGAGAAGCGATAACTAGATGGAGTCTGGGTAAAGGACTTCATGCTTGTCGAGGCAGAACCGGTTGGGAATTATAATTGTAACCAAGGGAATGAGAGTTCAGTTTGCATTGGCATATTTTAGGGGTTGTTTTTAGGGAAGACTACCTACCTACCAACCCTTGTAAATATTTTACTGAGATGTCAGGCTATTAAATATTGTTGTTATTACCTTCACCAGAGCGCCTTTATAGCAATGAGACGCACTGTGAGCCAACTTTTGGCTTTTAATTACATTTATCTGGCAAAACTTTCTGCCCCGAAACTAGTTTTATTTGTTTTCATACGCATTTCTGTTGATTGTACGCCATACGATATCAGTTATTATTATATTATGATTCCCTCTATTTTGTTGTTGCCTTGCTTTTATTTTGTTGTTGCTGTTGTTCGTTTCAATTAAATAAAAATCTTTGCCAGATGGCAAAGCGCTGAGCATTCGCTTTTTATTTCGCGTCTGTTCCTGATATGACACAAAAAAAGAGTCTTGTCTCTTTGCGACGGCTCTAATCTGAAATGAACACGTTTTAATGGCATTTTAATTGTTTATTCAGCGATAACGCTGCGCATCTCCCCGCAGCCTAAAGTAAACACACACACGCAGAGATACTTTGGGGCAGATAGAGCTGCGAGAGAGTTTTAATCATTATTAACCATATTAGCACATATGGCCCGCATTGGTGGTGCATTGTCACTTGACTCTGACAAACAAATGTGTTCCTCAAGGTCTCGAAAAGCCATCTGAGCTAAGAGAAAATAGTTTCCACCAACTGCGAGCATTCCGCGTTCACTTGAATTTATATTTAATTTTAGATTCTGCCCGTGTGATCTATCTGTACTTGGAAATCTGTCAAATTCAATTAGTTTCCACATCAAAATTCGTGAAATGGCATTTATTTGGGCGAGGAATTTGACTTTTACGAAAGAGGGGAGAATTTCCTAAAATGATTTCCTGCCATTTTTGGTTGTATTTCTGTTTGCTTTCCCTTATTTCGAGAGTTTAAATATAGGATTTATTTTGTTTTAAAGAATTCCAAAAATGTCAAATTTATGGAAAATGTTCGTTGACACTTAAGTATTATGATAGATTTTTTAATAATACGAATTGTTTATTATAAAGACGTAATAATAAAAAACATTTTCATTGTTTCAATATTAATAATTACAAGCTTTCATGATTGATTTATTGATTTGTCAGTTTATATGTATATGCTTTGTCATATTTTTTATAAAAGTAATAAATAACTTTTAAATTTGTCAACCCTTAATTAATTGACAAGCGAAACATTTGTGTACAAGCTTCCTGAATCGATAATATTACTTGGTAAAGGTTATAAAAGTATGATATAGTTATCTATCCCTAGCTAAAATATGATTTTACCAACCCTCAAGTAACGTTTTTCTGTGAAATCTTATCGTAAATAGCTTCTGAGTAGCAAATTTAATTTTGGAACCTTCTTCACTACCCTGGACTTGGAAAATGTAAACATAAAGTGAGCCAGATCTTGATAGGGGCTCACTGTGTGTGTCACTGGTACGTGAGTCACTTGAGCAAACATTAAATTATTCCATTTATTTGCATTACCTGAGACCTGGGACCTGGGACCTGGGACCTGGGCCACTGCCAAGCCAAAACCTGTTGCACTTTTCCGCCTTGAAGTCGTGAGCAATTAGCAAACAGTTCCTCATCCGTAGACGAGACCATAATAGGTCAACTGGCTTTCTGCAACCATTATAGCATTTAGGTGGAGGAACTCACATTGGCTTATCTTATTTTGAAAGCTAACGCAGTTTGGCTGCCGTCGATGATTGAGCAAATGGAATTTGGCAATTTCGGTTTTGGGTTTTTCGATTTTTTGGCCCTGGGTTTCTCTGTTCCCCCCCCCAATGATGACATCACTTACTCCGATGGCCAATCCTACCCAGGAGTTGGGCGTGTGTGTGTGTGCGGGAGAGACCTTTATTAATCTTATCAAAAGATGCTTTTCTACCTTTTATTTTATTTCATTGCGGGGACGTTTTTTATTTTGACTTTTTTTTTTTCGTGAACTGTCAGCCAGACGGAGGGGTCGTAATCGTGAGCTCATTTCATTTAGAGGTACACATAATAAATAATAAAGTATTTAAGAATTTTATTAAGAGAAGTGCGTTAAAGACATTCTTGTAATGAAAAGAAAATGTTAACTGAATTAAATGTATATTAAATGCTTTGATAAATAATATATTTTCATTAAAAATAGATAAACAAATTAAAAGAGATCATTATAAAGCCATTGCACTTTCTTCATTATAACAAATTTTATTTATAAATATTAAACAGTTTGCATAGGTTTGGGTAATTTACCTTCTGTTTTTTATTTCTTTCTATTGTTAATCTCCAATATTTGTTTTCGGTGCACCAGTAACGTGTTTACGCAGCATTCCGTTGGGTGCGGGCGTATTTATGATGCCGATTATTTTGCTTGTATCTCTAATTGAAAAATAAGTAAACAATTATAGCAATTATAGTTATTTGCAATGTGTAGAGTTCCCAGTTCTTGGAGAATTCCTCCGCCGCCCCGGGAAAACCAAATTCTTTGATAGTAAACAAAAGAGCCTAGAGTACGTAGAGCAAAGGTCAAATTAGCGCTTTAATCAAAATGTCAATGAGCAAATAACGCAAATAACCTGACGTGCCGACTGAAAGGTGATTTAGCTTTAACCGCAAGTTCTCTTTCTTAATTTTCGTGGAGGTGGCAGAGCGATTTCAAGAAGATCCGCGAAGAATAGTGCCGAGTCAGGCCATAAACACAGATACATACAGATGTATATTTAAAGAGAAACAGAGACCCCATGAAAGCCAAGTTCATTAAGCCGAAAATACAAACAGCAACGGTAACCAGTGTAAAGGCCAAACACCTTTGGGTTAAAAGTGTTAAAAGTCAAAAGCTAAAAGTGGCGTAAAATGGTGAAAATGCTCGACCTGGACCGTCACGCAGAGTGCCCACTGTGGGCGGCTCTGGCCTCCTCGGACGTGCCCTGGACGGGCATGGACTATGCCTGCCTCAACGTCCTCAGCATCTACTGCAAGGTGTTCGACCGGAAGGAGATATACGATCTTATCGTGAGGTAAGATTTTCCGATTTCCTGAGAGTGTGCTGGGTGCTTAAAGCTTTCGCTGGATGGCGCCACGCCAATGAAGCTGCCTACAGTGGAATGAAAATGGTGTTTTGGGGGCACAAAATATTATGTTTTCAATAGAATCTTTACATGTTATTGTTGTACAAAATAAGAGGATACCTTTTATGATATACATTTTATTTATATTATTATTATATATATTATATTTTTAAGTACCATAAAAAAGACTTCTAATATAGGTTCTAATTAAATTAATATATTTTTTATTTAGACATATTTTACCCTCTTTTTCCTAGTTTAAATCTAATCATTCTACATTTCTTCCTGATCTTTCAGAAAAACCTGTCAGTCCTGCAAATGTCCTCGCGAGGCACATGCCATCTACCAGCAACAGACGACCAATGTCCACGAACGGCTTGGCTTCAAGCTTGTCTCACCTGCAGACTCTGGCGTGGAGGCGCGAGATCTGGGCTTCACGTGGGTGCCACCCGGAGTAAGGGCCTCCTCGCGGATCAATCGCTACTTCGAGCAGCTGCCCGAGGAGGTGGTGCCCCGGCTGGGCAGCGAAGGAGCGTGCAGTCGAGAGCGCCAGATCTCGTACCAACTGCCCAAGCAGGACCTGTCGCTGGAGCACTGCAAGCACCTGGAGGTGCAGCACGAGGCCTCCTTCGAGGACTTTGTGACGGCGCGAAATGAAATCGCACTGGATATTGGTGAGTTTATAATAAAACTTCGTCTTGCTTAAATAGTTTCTTACTTAATTTCTTAATTAATTCCTGTTTGGTGACCTCACCCTGGATACGTTATCCTTTGGCTGGAATAGCCTACATTAAGGATGCCCCCTACGATGAGCACTGTGCGCACTGTGATAACGAGATAGCCACCGGCGAACTGGTGGTGGCGGCGCCCAAGTTCGTGGAGAGCGTGATGTGGCACCCAAAGTGCTTCACCTGCAGCACCTGCAACTCGCTCCTGGTGGACCTCACCTATTGCGTCCACGACGACAAGGTCTACTGTGAGCGGCATTACGCGGAAATGCTGAAGCCCCGCTGCGCCGGCTGTGATGAGGTGAGTACAGAGTCCTTTGAGTCCCTTGTTTTAAAGAACTGTTTTAAATTCTTGTAAGTTATTGGGTATTTTTGAGGTTTCTTTCGACCTTGTTAGCAAAAAATACATATCTTTCTCTATAGAAATATCCCGTTTTTCTATAAAATAGGAATTCCTTTAAAAGAATCCCCCTTTCTCTCAGTGTTCCCACTGCGATCCCTAATTGAAAATCAAATGTGTGGCATACTTTGGGGCGCATTCTGCAGATTGTATCTGTGTGCCAATCGGTGCGGCAGTGTCGCTGTGAGTGAGTGCCCGCTGTCACGGCTTCTGGCTTTTATCGTCCGCCGCACGCAGTTCACATTTATTGCTTAGGTGCGGCCATCCGCGGCAGCCCTTCTCCTCCTTTCCCATCCTCTGTGTCCGTCCAAAGGTTATGGCATTTTCATTGAACTTCACTTTGGCCCAGGAGACAAGCGGGAATATTTTCCAGCTGCTCGTTGCTGCAGAAAAAGCAAGGAGAAGCGCCGCCAGTTCATTGGCAGCATTGGCTGTTGACGCGTTGTCATCCTGCGAGCGGAAGTTCATCGTGAGTGAGCCGGAAATTGGTGGCTATCAGTGAAGGTCAGCAGAGATTGCAGAATTCTGTAAAGATATTAGGTATTGCTAGACTTAATCACAAGAATTTTGAGGGAATTTTAAAGGGAACATTAAATTAGAAGTTAAACAAGGAATTCCTGACATTTTCTGAAATAAAGAGCTCAAGAGTGTTTAGCTAAAAAGCATCCTTTGAGATTGCTTGGAACTTACTTTATATGGTTAATTTTAATTTAAATTTTATTCTTCTTTCTCTATTCAAATATAAACTCTCTGAAATATTTCCCAAATTTTCTCGCAAACGTTTGAATTAAATTTGTCTCATTCTCTGCTTTGATCGTTTTCCCACAATCCGCAAACAAAGAAAAACTTTCGCTTTCGTTTGCGAAAAACCAAAATAAATAAATAAATCAGCACCCAGGGGACCCATATATACCTACATATTTTCTTTTAAATTAATGTATTTTTGGCCGCGACATCTAAAGCAAATCAGTTGACGAAAATAAACAAAAGAATTCAGAAATAGTCAGGCGTCTAATGTGGGCCAAGAGCACAATTATGCTGCAAATTGGTAATAATTATGATGATTGTTCCCATTGTTTGTGGTGGTGTAAAGTGCATAATGCGAAGAAAGGCTAGGCAGAAGGCAAGAAGAGAGTCCCGAGGAATCGGTCTGCGAGAAAGAGAAGAATCCGCGAGCTGTTGGCAATGTTAGTGTCAGTGCCAAGTCGAAATTTATGACAAACATTTGTGTGTGCAGTCCGCGGGGTGTGGAAATGGGGCGTGGTGACCCTGGCCCCCGGCCCGGACGTTGGCCATGCCAATGAGCGACACATTTGCAAAATAAAGCAAACAGTACAGTGTCAGTCATGGGTATAGGTATATCTAAGAAAAGAATTTCAAATAAGTAGGTATAAATCTTTGTAGAGTAACTTACTCAGAATGGAATTTATGAATGGTCTAGGACAATTATAAGTATTAAAAAAATATAATATTTGAGATCTTATTTGATATTTATAGGAAAGTTTAATTAAAAAATCAGCACTTGTCTAAGATCTACGTATTATTTTGTCTACGATATGTTCGTTTTCCTAAGATTAGTCACTCAAATCAATTTTGAATAAACACCCAAGCATTCTTCTATTTGTTTACATACGGGACGTATGAGTAATATCTAGAAGCATATACAAATAAGCCACATAAATAGATATTGATTTAAATCCAATTATTAATAGATTTTCATTTTAATAAAAATAGTTTTAATACTATTAAAACAGAAGTTGAAGATGTATATTCTTAACATCTTCAACTTCTGTTTTAATAGTATTAAAACTATTTTAATAAAACTTTAATAAACTTCCTCTTTATGACTAATTTTTCAAGAATTCTTAAATCAATTTTTAAATTTGAACCAAAAGCTATTGACTTATATTTTATTTTCAAATTCTTCTGAGACTTTAATAAAAACTATTGTACAAAATTAAAAAACCCATTCTTACTATCTCCAACTGATTTATATCCATGACACTGACTGTTCTCCCGCACGAAAACTGCGAGCAAAGCAGAAAGTGGCGAAAATCGTTTTGTGGAAATCGACAATCGAAACACAGACCGAAAATAGATCCCCCTAAAGAAGGGGGCGCGGCCAGGAGGGTGGAAAATGGTACGGGAGACTAAACTGATTAGAAAATCCGCCTTGGCCAATTCCGATTGCTTTGGCATTTGACACAGAAGGCGGGCTGAAAAAAGTGGCCGAAACCCAGTGACAGTGCAGCGGCCGAGGCGTTTGTGTTGCCAAGAGTTTACTCGGCGAATTGTCTTGTCAGTTGAGTCGCTCGCTCTTCGCGGGCCGTCAATTAGCGCCGTTTGCCATTTGAACGGACAGCGTACGGCGACTGGGATTCGGTTCTTGGCGGATTCGGATTCAGTGCTCTCGCCGCTGATTCACTACATGTTAAAGGGGGCCCTTGGTCACTCGCACTTGGCGCACTAATCAGTTGCAAGACGATCGATTAGCGGAAAACAAGAGCCCGCCGGTGCAGCAGCCGCCGGATTGCGATTTTCCCGCACCCAAATCTCGGAACTCTCTCTCGGAGAAAGCGATATAATATACGGAAATCTTAGATAAATAAACATAAATATCCATCGATACATTTTTGAGCGAAAAGCGTGCGCGTCGAAAGCGAAATAAATATTTTTCGAATTACCTAATCGACTGGCCGTTAACGTGAGAGGTGTGTGTGAGTGTGTCTCGAGTGCGTGGTGAATATATTTTATATAATAAAATACTCGTACTCGTGAGCAGAATCGTTTCTTGCCGAGAACATCCTCATTGCATCGCTGAACGTCTGAGGACTTGGATTTGGGTTCCGATTCGGATTCGGTTGAGGGAATTACGCAATGGCCGCCGAGGAGACGGCGCTAACCGGCGTCGGCGAGCTGCTCTTCTCGCTGCTGATCACCTACTTTGGAGCTCTGGAGTTCGCCTATGTGACTCGCCACCTGTACCACTGGACCTTCCGGCATCCGGAGGCCTCCGCCCTGGACGCAGCTGCTGATAGTGAGGAGCTGCCTCGGATGCGCGAGCGCTTGGATAAGGAGATCAAGGAGGCCGCCGAAAGGGAGGCCCTGGCCGGCACCAATGTCATGCAGGATGGTGTTATGTACAGCAAGGGCTTCCGCGTGGATCCTGCCGGCGAGAAGAGGGAAGCTTTGGCGGCGGAGCTGGAGCGCCAGCAGCAAATAGAGGCCGAGACGCGAAGACAGCTGGCCGAGGCAGAGGCCAGACTGGCGGAAGAAAGGCAGCGGGCCAAGAGGCAGGAAGAGGAGGCCGAAGAACAGCAGAAGAAACTGATTGAGGCCGAGAGACAGCGTGAGAGAGAGCAGGCTGAAAAAGAACGCGAGGCGGAGGAGCAGCAGCGTAAACAGCGAGAGATCGAGGAGAAAGAGCGACAGGAGAACGAAAGAAAGCTGATTGAGGCCGAACGAGAGCGCGAGGAGAACGAACGCAGGCTGCATTTAGCCGAAGAGCAGCGAGAGCGTGAAGAGAACGAACGCAGGCTGGTCGCTGCCGAGCGTCTAAGAGAGCAAGCCGAAGCCGAAGCTGAAAGACAGCGAGAGCAGGCCGAAGCGGAAAGACTGAGAGAACAGGAAGAAGCCGAACGGCAAAGAGTCCTAGCCGAAGCTGAGGCGGCTGAAGCCGAGCGTCGTATCTTCGAAGCCGAAATCCAGCGGGAGCGGGAAGAAGCCGACGACGAGGAAGAACAGACCCAACGAGATGCTGAGATCGTCGAACGTCTTCTGGCCGCCGAAAGAGAGCGCAAGATGAGCGCCACCGAGAGCGAACTGGAGGAAGAAGCCGCCTTCGCCGAGCAATCGCGTCGCCTGATCTCCAGCAGATCCGACCTCGAGCAAAAGCAGCGAATGATCGAGGAGAACGCCCGCCGCTTCATGGAGGCCGAGGAGGAGATGGTGATGCTGCAGCAGCGCCAACTGATGGCAAGGAACAGCAAGGAGGAGGCCGACGAGTACGCCGGCATGGAGCCCGTGGTGGAGGAGCCGTGCGTAAAAAAAGTGGCGCCACCCAGATTCCAGGAGCCTGACGAACCTATGATGGTGCATAAAGTGAAGACGCAGTTCGGCCAGGGCAGTAGTTCCGAGGAGCCCTACTTGACCAAGTCCAAGACCCTCACCTTCCCCGGCGTCTCCGATGATGGATCCTCCGTTGAGCCCATTTCCAGCCAGCAATCCTCGTCGTTCAGCACGGACGAAGTTAACCGCGCAGAAGGGGAACGCCCAGAGCCCGAAGGGGAGGATCAAATACCCGATGTCCAGTACACCGAGGACTACCTGCGGTCCCTGGACGGAATCAAGAATCGTCCGCTGGTCCGAGAGGATGGCTCGGGCAGGAGAAGAGCCTTCAAGAAGCGACGTTCCAGTGGGAGCTCCAACTCTTCGCGTGACTCTCGCGCCTCACGCGACGAGGAGCTGAAGATGTTCACCTCGCTGGAGGAGGAGGAACTGCGCCACGGCGACCGGGAGGACTACAATCCCATCAAGTATACGAGTGAACCGACTTTAAGGGTGAAGTCACACCATCGTCGCCACAAAAGGAGTCCGGCCAAGGATGTGAAGCCACCTTCGGAGGCGAGTGGATCCCTGGAGATGCTCGGCGAGGAGAGCACAAATCCATGGGGTGAGGTGGTACCGGAACACTACAAGGACACCGAGTTCTGGAAGCGGGAGAAGGCCCTCTCCATAGACGAGGAGGAAGTCGAGATGGAGAAGCCATCCCGGGGAGAAGATGTAGAGGACGAGGCCACCAACGAGCCGAAGTCCTCCTCCTTCGAGGAAGCCACCGAAGCACAGAACGAAGAAGCTGTGGCAGCCCTGAAACAGCAACACTCCAAGGAGCAGGTGGTGAGTAAATGGAGCTATCAGTCCAGGATCTTTAACAATGGTTTACTGTGTGTTTGCCAGGAAGCGGAAAGGGAGAAGGACAACTCGCAGACAACGGAGGCCAGCGACAGCAACAAAGCCAATGTAAGTGCGTAGGTCAGCCACCCAACCAACCAGAACCAGATCCACCCAGCACCACTCCAGTCCCACTAAACCCGATCTTCCTGAACCTGAACTTCCTCCCGATTCCCCCGCTGCTCTGCCGTCTGCCTTAACGCTTTAATTCTTTGCTTTCCATATGACCAACGCTTCGCTCTTCCGCTTGCTTCCTTGCATTCCTTGGCCCCGAAAGTTGCAAACCTCTTCCGCAACCGAGGAGCAATCGAGGGGCGGCTCACCTGGCTTACGTCGCAGTCCGCGCATCGACGAGATGGATCACTACGAGGAGCGCTGGTCCGCCAGCCAGGAGCAGCAGCCGGAGCAGCAACAGCAGGCCAACGCGACGCCCCATACTCCAGTCATCAATGTCCAGCAGCCGGATACGGCTCCTTGGCGGGATCAGTACGGACTGCTCATGGAGGGGCTCAGCGACTTTTACGACTTTACAGCTTCGGTGAATCCTTCGCGATCCCGCTCCACTTCGCGCAATCCCTCGCCTGTTCCCAAGAATGTGGCCAACCGCATGGATGTGGACGCGGAGCGATCTCTGGAAGTATACGACGATACCCAGGAGGGATTAATGGCAGGAGAACTTAACTGTGAATCTGTCCTTCAACTCCTCGAATCAAACTTGAATGGAAATGAAGCCTCTAACGATCAACCACTCCAAGTACAGACAGTGGCTGATGATGCTAGGAATGGAAATGCAGCTGTGTCCATGGTATACGAGCCCTTGGAGGGAGCTACCCTCAATGCTCCCCAAGGTGATCGAGGACGAGAGCCTTCTGTGGAGAGGACTCGATCGCGGTCGAGATCCCGTTCGCCACTTCCCACCTCTGAGAATCTAGAGAAGAGCATCAGCAAACGCAGGGAACGCCTGATCCGACAGAACGATGAACTTGCAGAGCGACTGTCCCACTCTGGATCCGAAGGTTCCATGGAAATCGAGATCAATGGCAACGGGAGACTAAGTCCCCAGCAGGAAATCATCCTACCGCAGCCCGTGATCGAGATCAATGAAATGGCCGACAAGCCCATGGAAGATGCAAAACCTTCGCACGAAGAAATGCGACTTTTTGTAGAGACCCTGCGAGCAGAGCGGAATGCCCAGTCGCGATCTAGATCCCGATCCCGTTCCCGTTCGCCCTTGCCCACGGCCGACAATATTCAAAAGAGTTTGGAAAGCAGACGACTGAAGAGAATTCAACATAACGATGAGATCTTTGAGAAGTTGCACGAGCAAATGAACTCGCCAGAGATCATTATAGAGACTGCTTCGCCTCCATCATCTCCACTTCCTCTGCCCACGATTTCCATTGAAATTTCGGAACCACCACCGGAGGAAACCGAAGCAGAGCCGGAGGACACACCGGAGAGCATGGCCAGGCTGTTCGAGAAACTACGCCTTAACCGAGTGCGCTCCCACTCTCGATCCCGTTCTCGATCTCCATTGCCCACGGCTGCCAACTTAGAACAGAGCTTGCAGAAGCGACGCGAGAAGCTGATAGCTCAGAATGATCAGTTCTTCGAGGCACTCCAGGAGAGAGCAAGAACACCAGAGCCGGAAACCCGCATGACGGTGGAGTACGTCTACGAGTTTGTCCACGAGAAAGATGAACACATTGTGGAAGGTCGCGACATGCGCTCCCTGTCACCATCTCGCTCGCCATCCCCGTCAAAGAATGTGGAGGTGGACGACTTCCATCTGATGCTAAACTTGGAAGGCAGTGAACTACGCACTCTTCGCAAGAACAGCGAGGAGCTGGAGAGTGTCCTTGCTGCTAGTGTAAGGCAAAGAGAGCTGGACCTGGAGGCACTGGAAAAGTTGAACAGTGCCAACGAAGAGATAGAGCTCCGAGTCCTCAGTCCAACAGATTCAGAGCTGGAGAGAGTGGCTGCTATGACACGGGAGATGGCTGCTCCGGATCTGGAACGCACCGTTTCCGAGGTGGCTAGAGACTTGCAGGATGAGCTGGTGGCCAGTGGCTTTAAGCGTTCCACCTATGTGGGCGAATCCCTTGACCTAGGAAGCGATCAGTTCCAGGATCTGCGTCGAGAGGCCGCTCTATTCCAGCGATCCCGCAGTCCTTCGCCTAGGATGACCTTTGAGCAGGCCAGGGAACAGGCGGCTGCCCAAAGAGAACTCCAAGCAGCCATACTGGACTCCATCACGGACAATCGACTAGGAGCCAAGCCCAAGACTTATTCGGAAGAGAGAGCTGCTGCCGGATGTCAGGAAATATCCGCCGCCCAACTGGATGATTTGCGTCATCGCACCGCCGAGTTTCAGCGGTCGCGTAGCCAAAGTCGATCTCCGCTCAGGGAGGATGGGTTAACCCAATTAAGGGACATCGATGCTGAGGCGGCCAAGCGGGAGCTGCAGGATCAGGTTCTGGACAGACTGGCCGCCTCGAGCGGTAACTTTGAAAGCTTCTCCCGGCACTTGAACGCTGACTTTCTCGACAGTGAGCGACGTGCTTCAGACTCGGCTTTGATGGGCGACATGGATCCAGAGGAGTACCATCACTTTCGACGCTATTCGCTGGCCCAGGAGCAGCCCGTGGAGGAGTATCCGAGCGACGACTACGTCTACATCTCGCAGATCGAAGTGCGCACTCTCACAGGCACCAGAACCTGGCTGAAGGAGGACTTTTACCCTCAAGATGCAGATAACTATTCGGATTCCAAGGGCCAGGTGGTGGACCAGGATTCCTGGGCACGAGCTGTCTTGGCCGCTGAAGCTGAGGCCGCTGAATTCGATGCCACCAACGCAATCTACAGCTATGACATTGTCGGGGACCACGAGAATCTGGATCAGGAAAGGAGCAGCTCCAACGACAGCGAGGATGAGCGACAGACGGTGGTGGAGATTGATGAGGATGACGAGGATGAGTACGAGTTTGAGCTGGACGAGGGCATCTCGGATAACAACGAACGGACCCAGCCCACCGATGAGTCCCATCACGACACCTCCGAGTGCGAGGAGGCGGAAAGGAACGCGGATCGCTATGCCAATCGCGGTGCTCAGGACTGGGAGGAGGTCGAGGATGTGGAGGACTTCCTGGACTACAGCGATGGTGCTGTGGGTGGGGCCACACCCTACTCCGATCCGGACTCCTTCATCGAGCAGATCTACAACGAGGCAATCAAGAACAGAAAGCAATCGGGCATCTTGAGGGACTACGAAACCATGGTCCAGGAGCAACTGCCCTCGGATCAGAGTGAATCAGAAAAGGAGAAGTCGGGATCGGAGAGTGAGCGATATGCTCTGTGGGCCAAGACCCGGGAGCTGGAACGATCTAGCTCCAGGACCCGACACACCGACGTGGATATAGCCCTGGGATTGGTTCCTGAAACCGAGCGCCGGGAATCGGAAATGCGTTACCTGGGCGATGCCCATGTGGCTGCTCGCCAATCCACTAGGTTGCGTACCCGCTATGGCTATAATCCTAACTTAGATGTGGGCGCGGTGGACGATGACATCGAGGTAGACTTGAATTACACGCCCAAGAGGGAGTACAATTGGCGCAAAAACTTCCGTTTGGATGATAATGATGATGAAGTGGAAAGAAATCACCAGGACAACAAAGATCATGAGAATGAGGAGCAGAAAGCCAGAGATCAACTTGAGGAGGAGCAGGACTCGCAGGATCGTTATCAGGAAGAGGATCAGGATCCGTACTTATATTCAAATGAAGAGAATGGTGAAGATGTCATTGGAGAGCCACTAGATCCCCGTCGCTATAGCCTTGGTGGAGAGAGCATTACCCTCTTCAGTCGCAGTCCTGTTCGTGAAATTCTATCCGATGTGCCAGAAGAACTCCCCCTGGAAGAGGAGCCACCCAAAGAGCAGCCAGAAGAGACTGTTCCCATTGAAGAAGAATTCCCCGTTGAGAAGCCGAAAAAGAAGAAAAGCAAGAAGAAGCTACGCAAGGGATCTAAAACCGAAGAAGAACTCCGAGACGACAACGATTCGGACACACAGATGGGTTACACTCGACGTAGAGATGATCAGGAGGTGGCTGAGCCACCCAAGAGGAAGTCCCGCTCCAGGCGCAGCTCCAAGAGCAGTCTCACCAATGAGGAAGCCAATGGTGGCTCGGGACTCTTTTCGCCACGCAGTAGTTTGGCCTTTGTGGGTGATTCCCTCGAAGGCATAGCCGAGTTTGAGAGAGACGAAGAGCAGTCTTCGTCCACCAAGAAGAAGACCAAGAAACGCAAGAAGACTTCGACCAAGGAAAGCAGGGAGGAGGCCAAGGAAGAACCCCATCCCACAGAAGAGTCCCACCTCGACCAGGCTTTGGCTGCTGCTCTGGCAGAGATTGCCCCCGTTTCGGTATCCACCAACTTGACTCCCGAGTCCACTCAGCAGAATCTGCTTTCCATCATCAGTACCGGACAGAGTGTGTGCATTACGCCGGCCTCATCCGTCGAGGAGATCGTTAGCACCTCTACCATCGCAACAGCAACAGCTTCTCCCTCCTCAATCGCGACCACTGTGGCTTCGGCTGCTGTGGTGCCAGCGCGATCCGTGGTGGACACCTTCGACATACTCAAAGACGCCAACTTCTATCCGCTCTTCTAGCCCGCTGGTCTGAAAACTAACCCCGCCACATGCCATTCTTTCCCTCATTCGATTTACTCTCTATAAATATCTGTTTCTTATAGACATGTTCATAAGCCAAGTCAAGTCAAGCCAAGCACAGCCCAGCACAAATCCAGTCCCAAACCGAGCACGCTGTACACGAAATCAGTCCCAGTTCCAGAGCCCAGCATCCAGCATCCGCTCCTCTGAATGATGGGATCCCACAGATCCCGCACTGTATAAACTATGTATTATACTAACGACCCCAAGAAATAGCGAACGATTCAAGGATTGTTTACCACATACTCGTAGCTGTTAGTTTACTTAACGATTTTTTGTCTTTATAAAAATGCCGAGAATAAAATGCCAACTGAATAAATGAAAGAAAGCATTTCTGTTGTTCTCTCTCACTCTCTGTGTGGTGGCTATAAATAGCGAACCCTTCACCACCCTCCGCTTCGGATCTGCCAATCTGTTTGTGCCAATTCTGCATCTTGTACCGAAATACCCGAGCATTGAGATCACTTAGTGGTGTCATCCATCCACCAAGTGCAGTCGCAGAGGGAGACATGGCCCATAAATCGTCCCACAATTACCCATATATTCTTGTTGTATCCGCATATGGCCAATAGCATATATCCCCACGATGTGGCCCAATTTGCATTTGTGGGCTCCTTGTCGCCTGAGGCGTGATGATGTCACTGGTTGACATACGCGGGTATTACGAGCACCCATGACGGGTAGAACACATAAATCCCCCTGCAAATGGTTCGCCATATAGATTTACTCGATTTTTAATGCTCTTGTCATTGCGACTATAAACGCAAACGAAAACAATCTGTCATGCAACCGAATTATACATTCGGTCTCTGGGATTTTGCGGGTCTTATGTCTGAAGAATGGGCGCTAAGGTCAGGGTTAAGTGGCATTATGTTAGGCTAGAAAGTGTCAGAAGTAAAGAGAAGCGAAATCATTTTATATGGGACTTTAATCGTAATATCTCTGAGAGATTATATATAAATGTTTAGGGTAATAAAAGAGTATAATTTATAGTGAAATAAATATGAAAATATATTTAAGAAAAGTGGATATAAATGCTACCAAAGTTGAAATATTAACTTAAGCCTATAACTAGCCAGTTAGGGTTAGGTATTTATAAGTTAGTGGATTAAAGAAAACAGTAAATTGCTTGTTAGATTTTTATAGTTTGTATAGTTATAGTTTAATTCAAAGCTGCATATAAATTCAACTAACAATAAACGGGAGGTAAATTGATTAACCAACTAAGAATTAAATATATAATAATATTGATTTAATATATATTTTATTAGATGTTGGTGTACAGAATATATTTTTAATTACCAATTGTCTTAAGTGTAATAATTAATGACATTATTTTCTATCTTCCCAAAACGCTATAAGATTTCCTCCCCAAAATATGCTGCATTCGAATCCCAAAAGTATGCCAAGCTCTCGGATTTTTTTCCAGATCTTGCAGCTCCCAGCGAAAAGGCAATTCATTCATTATTTTTTCTGTATGTCAGCTTCGCGAAATATAATATTTTTGCCTGATATTTCTTTGGTGAAATTCTGCTGTCAAGTTTTAGATGTCGTATCCTTAGTCAAATTAAGCTAAAGCCAGCCACTGAAAGGCAACGAAAAGCAAAACAAAGGTTCGCTCGCGGAGATAACAAATTATTTTTGCGACTGTCAAATGGCCGCAAAAGGGGAAAATTTGGGGAAATTGGAAAAATGAAAAATTCTCAAAATATTTATGACAGGCCAACAGGAAAGTGTGTCACTCGAGTGATTTGTTTACGTGGCTCACTTGGCTTTGGCTTTGTTCTCCCCTCCAACAAACGGGCCATTTGGAATATATATTTTCTGTATGTTCTGTAAAACTCATTACGTAATGCGTGTGTACATCTGTACATATCTCTCCGAACTTGCGTTAGAGCCCAAAGAGCCCAGCACAGACGTTGCCAAAAAGTCTTATTCAATAGTTTTGTCTTTGACATGAATTCATTTTTCTTATACGGGGCACACTTAAAAGCCTGCGGTTATATTTTCTTTCATATTTCCCCCACAAATTGCCAGTACACACACTTAGAATATAGTATTTTTGCCTTAAATAATTATAGAAATAAAAACAGAAAACCGAATTCACTTGAATTTTCGTGTGTTCAGCTGGTAAATGAATTTTTCTTATTCAGTGTCAGTTAAATGAAACACCTTTTTCCACGCTGCCAAACATTTTGTCGAAAATAGATACTCGAGAGTCATCTCAGAATTTTTTCAATATTTTTCCATATCATCTCAACCGAATTAAGGACAAATTAGAAATGTGCCAGATTGAATTAAACCCAATTTCGGGGCGCAGCTGCAAACAAACTTAAACTTGAACTTATGGACAGCCCGCCGCCAGTTACAGAGAAGTGCCTCCTTGTCTCGGGGAAACTTTCCCTGCTCTTGCCTTTGATTTTCTTTCGTTCAATAAACAACAAGAAATAAAAATACAAAAATACGCTGGAATATAAACGCGCGCCTTTCGATATACACGATATATACATAAATATATATATCTGTATATATCCAAATTTATGACCCAATTAACGCCTTAACGCCTGCGAGAAAACTGCCAAATAATCGTAATGAGGAGCAGCGGCGGGCGCGGAGCAGTCACAACACGCAAAACTTTTTATCAAAGATTCGCGAGATGCGAATTATTTATAGACCAACTCGCAGATTGCATTACACTCGGCTCCATTGCAGTTGTTGTTGTTGCTTCTGCTGTGTGTCTGTGGCGAAAATAGCAACAACTAATATACACATGCTATGCATTATTTAATGCACAAGTCTGTATATTCATATAGCCACAAACATTCATCACGGCATAGTATATATGATAGATAGGAATATGGAATGGCATGGCCAGCGAAAAAAATATTTTGGGGGCAGATCTTGGGGAAGGAATTATAAGGAAACGATGTCTTTATGGATTACAATTTTATTTATATTTTATTTAAACCAAGTGGCTTGGTTTAATCTAGATTCAATTAACTATAATATTTGGATATTATCCTGGCCTGGAAAAATAGTAGAAAACCTTTTCCTATCTTGAGGAACTGCAGTCTGGAGGCCATTATCTGTGAAGTAGGCCTATACTTTGAGTTATTTTAATTTTTTATAATTTTTCCAGCTTATTAAACAGTCAGGAAAATAAAGCAATTATTAGAAAATGTATACAAAATATGTTAAATGGTTATTTCTATGGTATTATGTTGTCTGATTTTTAAGTCTAAATGTCTAACAAATATCTTACATTTATATAGCATAAATCTAATATAAATAATGAAGTTACAAATTTATATACAATACTTTAGACCTTTCACAAACAAATATCTATATCATAAACGATGCCTAGACCTCATGTAATTCCAATAAAGTATAATAAAGTAAATCAAGCCATTCAAAATTATCGTTTGCCCATTAGACTTGAGACCATAAATAACTGAATAAAAACAAGGAAATCTAAAATTATTTAGTGCTGTTTATACTCTTAATTTTATGTGTGTTCTGTTTGGTTTTGTGGATAATAACCAACTTGAAACTACACACCATTTCCCAGATATTTATTTGATTTGAAACCCCCCCTCATGGCTTGGCAACCCACGTCACTGGTACATTATTATTATTAAAGCAATAAATTTCAACCATCACAGCAGTGAATCAGTTTACATCAACATTTTGATTTTTAAACAAACTATATATATATACATATAAATTCTGTGTAGCCAGAAGATTTTACGAATTGTTGATTTCGTTTATTATTCATTTCGAGCCAAGCAATTTTTCTTACACCATTGACGACCTAGAGCAGGGAGAGACCTTGTTAAATGCTTTCTACCACTGAACTGTCACTGGTTTTTATAGAACATCTTTGCGGGCCATTGGTCATTTGTACTTGTTTATAATTCGCGCCAATTCCCCTTGGGCGGCTGCCCTTAAATGTCGCGTCAATTTGTCTAATGGCAATTTGTTCCGCCGCCGAACAAACATTGCTTATTAATTGGGGTGCAATATTTTAATTTGCCGCAAAATATCTACGTTGAAATTGATTTAGGACCAGACTGATGATGAGGTCACGATGGGGCTCCATGAAAAGTTGTTCGATATCCATCAAATATCAAGAGTTTTTATTTACCATTTATATGTGTTGAAAAATGTGGTTAAAGGGAACATTATTCAAAGTTTGTTTTAAATATTTCTAGAGAAATAAAATATGTACCTTCACTTTGGAAGATAAAGATGAATAACTTCTCTTAAATTTATTTAAAAATGTGTTAAATAAATATGTATAAATACTCATTTTAATACAGAGTTTGTACAATTTAAATACTACTAAAAATATAATTACCTCACTGACATAAATTTACAAAAGAAACAGCTCCTTGAAAGTAAATATTTAAAGTAAATCTCTCTGATATCCATAGTCCTTCATCGTTAAAGTAAAAAACAATCTTAAACTGTACCCTTTCTTCTATTTATGTTCCTGCTAAATTACAAATTATTTAATGTTCAATTTCGAATGTTTTTCTTATTGGCCGGCACACCTGTTGGCCCGTTTCAGTAAACATTTGCATCCATTGGCATCCCAATGATGTTTGTTTGCCAAATTGCCAGAATATCGAGGAATGCGAAAAAATAAATTCCATATATTAATACAATTACGATAATGCATGGGCAGAGCGCAGCGCAGATCAATTAAGGCAGAACTAAAGGGAAATATATATTCGAAAATACGAATGCCAGAGGCAGATCATTGCTTAGATCCCCGATCCAATACCGATTTATGCTCCATTATGCAGTGTGTGTGTGGGAAAAGCTGAGAGTGTCTGTGAGATTTTCCATTTACGAGACTGCTTTCCGTGTGTGTGTGCGGCGACTTGTGTGTCGTGTGCACAAGCGCCATCGAAAGCAGCATTTGGAAGGGGGGAAAACTGGGAAAATTTCTCAAAACTCTGACAAGCATTTAAGGGGGGGGATGAGATGCCACACCCCTTTGACACCCCACACAAGCAGGTGCGCGCCACCCACGCCTTTTGGCACCTGAAATGCGTTCGATTATTATTATTATATTCCCTCTTACAAATTACTATTTTTAAGCGCAAACGAAATATATTGCCAGCAAATTGGCCGAAATCGCAGAAGAAATTACCCAATTGCATTGCACATTCAATAATCCCGTTAATTATTGGCGATATTTACATTGTCTAGTCCGTGGATTTTTCTCTATTTTCCGCTCTCGCCGAACGAGAAGAGATCTCTAGAGATCTGCGCTCTCCGGGCGCTCCGAGATTTTATTTTTACACTTGGCGGTGGCGAAACTAG